ATATTCACTACTGTTGGGTATCTGGGCCCATAACCTCTTAGAACTGAGTATGTTCTACACTGAATTCTGCAGCGGTAAACTTGTAGGAATCGTATTTGAAGAAATACAATGTATAGAAATTGATTGACGCAATGACTTTTTCAGAAAAATTATATTGACTTTTTTCAAACTCAAAACTTCAGAACAAACACATTTGATTTATATCATCCTCGTACATACAGTGTCTTGAAAATCTCTTGAACAACAATATCTTCTCACACCTCCAGCGTTGCAGTTGGCGTCGTCCTCATTGCTCCTGTGATCGCCAGGCAGGCCATCCTTTGAACTTTACTAAGCTTTCGACTAATTGTGCTGGTTTCTGCACCTGGCCATCACACAGCTGATCCATACTGAACCTTTGGTCTTACGACCGCTGTGTATAGCCAGCGCATAATCTCGGGGTTGATACCCCAAGTTCTCCCAACGACCCTCCTTAGTTGCCAAAGAATTGCCACCGACTTTTGCACGATCCTATCTAAGTGTAGCCTCCATGAGAGTCTTGGGTCCAAGACGACACCTAGGTATTTGACCTGTTGGACTACGATGGATACGAATACAACTCGTGATACTATTTTTCCTGGAAATATTCGTCGATTGACTTGACATACTCCAGCTTGCTGCTTTAATTTCGCTCGACATTGTTCCAAAACTTTTTTCCTACGGCTCGAAAGTTTTGATAAACAACTTCATTCGGCAAAATTTATTAGGCAACAAGCTGTCGCAACAATCGCCGAATATTTCCGGCAACGCCTATGAGTCCTATGACATACGACGTTATACTGTGTAGGCCATTTATGGGCGTGCGTATGGAGTACGTATGTTTGGTGTCTTGATTATGGCCAAGGTAGATAGAATATGGTGTAATCACAGACAGTGTTTTGTTTCTCCCCAAACGCCTGACCATTCCGCAATAATGGCATATTAGTTCTCAGTTGTCCGCACGATGGTGACACTTTTTACAGATTTCTTTCATGATAGAAAACGGCGCTTACACACCGCTTGCACCAGAAATAATATCATAGCATTCATAACATACCCTCAAATCAAGTGAGATTAAATTTGAATGTACGAAAATGTAATTTTGGGGAATTTCAATTATCATCAGTTCTACCAACCTTGAATGTTAGTTAGATTTCGCCATCTAACGGGTAAAATGCTACCTATATTCAGCGATATTGAAAAGATTCCTTCTGTCAACTTTGACCGAAAGACAGTAGATGGGATTTGATACGCGTTTCTACACCATCTTCTGTTCATCCTGATTATGGCGTCACTTCCAGAGTGATCAGGCAGTTCCTTAGTTCTCTTTATTCGTAGGATCGTAGGTCAGTACCAAAGAGGAGATGAGATACATACACCTACTATTATTGGGCGGTACATTCGAGAGAGCAGAAAATGTAATTCTAGCTCTCTCTGTGATACTCATTGATTCTTCAAAAAGTGAATCAGTAATTTCATTTCTTTGCTGCCTGTTAAGTGTCATAGAAAAGCCACTTTATATATATGCCGCTTGGAGAAAAAAGGGTTTTTTCTCCATATCACATCGAAAGTGGCTTTTCAATGAAAATTACCAGGCATAAAAGGTCTATTTTTATTGCCTAGGCAGAAAAACTTGTTGCTATGCAGAGCGTTCTTAGTAAAAATGAATCAAATTGGTAAATGGTAATCAAAATAGACAATGACATAGGGTGAACACAATATGAGTTTTTTTAATAAAAAGTAACTGCCTAGGCAGAGAAAGTACATCTTTCCTGCCTGTTGAGTGTCAGAAGAGACACTTTTATATGCCGCTTGGAGAAAAAATTATGTTTCACATGGCAGAGATTAAGATTCAATGCCTTGGCTGGTTTCCTTGCCTCGGGATTAAATCTTGTGATTGTTTTTCTAGTAAACCAAATAACCATTCAATGTCTCGATTGACGTTGATTTACATCAGATTGAAACTTCGAATGTTTTTTCATTATTTGAAATCGAATTGAAAATGATGGTTCAGCATAGTGGCGTTTTTTTTTTCATTCTTCGGTTGACGTTTTCTTGATATATTTAAATCGTAAGTAAAATTATAGCCAGGAACTGGATATTGTTCAATTCCATATAGCCCTAACCAAATAGGTAGAGGGTATGTATCATGGAATATAATTGTTTCATTGAAAAAATCCATAGATGAACAAGTCAACTTTATGGAAAAACACTTCAATTCTAGCCCTTTTCTGAGAACGAATTTATGTGACTATGGGATTCAATCAATATAGGGATATCCTTTGGTGCGCCAGAAAAGATAAAAAAATAAATGCAATGAAAAATTTAAGAACTGATTCTATATATTTATTAATTTCCAAATAGTTTCAACATGTTGTAAATATATAATATTTTGAACAACTTCAAATACATTTTGATTCAATATATTTCACAATATTATGAAGAAGACTATTAATTCTACTCAAGATTTATTAATAGCTGCATTCACTGAGATGAGGATTCATTTGTCATAATCAACATATTAGAACTATTACTAGTTTTTTTGTTTTTTCTTTGAGATAAGTTGAATAACAATCCTCGCTATATTTACCTATTTTCTATTTATCTATAGGTACAATTTCACGGCCACCTCGTTATTTTAATGATATTTCAATTTTGTAGTCAATATAATTCGAGAAATTCAAATACTCTCAGAATTTCTGGAAATTCATAGTTGAAAGTATCCATGGATCAACCCGTAACTGTCACTTCTTCAATCCTCTTTATAAAATAAATAAGCTACTAGTGTATATTATGGGTTATTCAATACATTTCTTTGAAGATGTGATAGTGAATAACATTAATCAGAATTTTGAACCACCATAGATGGTTTTTGAAATAACCCAATTTTTAATTTATCTTAAAAAAGTAGATCTTCTTACTTTAACATTTGATTTTCTTTTGTAGTTTCCATAGGATCAGGCATTATTTTCGGAACTTTTTTGAGGTGCGAGCGAAGTTTTTGAAAAATTTCAAGCTCGCGGAAAATTCGGCACGAAAATGTAGGTAATGCCAAACCCATTTGTCAATAGAATTAAATCGGTGACATACCCAGCGAGATTTCCACTTAAAATAGCCCCTTGTCATAACATGACAACAACAGGTAGATAATTTTCAACAAATAAATCTACTTGACATTCAACATTTTGATCGTGAGAACAGTCCGGATGAAAACTTGAGAAGAATAGTTCTGGAGATGAACAAATTTCAATATCTCAAAAACTAACAACTTCTGTATGTGACTTTGTGTTTTGAAATTTCTATTGCAGAATGGGTCACATCAGCCCTAAAGAGCTCTGTCACAAACTAGCGCGCACCAAAACAGTGCATAAGAAAATAGCACTGCAACAAAACAGCACGTTTAAAAGTAACGCCATTGGCCGACAACTCATTTTGTCAATAAATTCATTTTTTTAATAAAAATTAAAAATTATCATTATTGTAAAGTAAGTAATTTGAATCAATCATCGTAGCAGTTAATTTCATTTACGACTTAGAACAATGAATTGGAAATGAAAATTCTCCATTCCTAACATTTCAAGACTCAATATGTTTCCCAAAGATGAAGAATTCCGGGAGAAGTGGATATCTGTAATACCTTGTACTAATTGGACCCCACCTCAAGGTTCTGCAGTGTATCCTGTTAATTTCGTTTAAACAGATATTACACATTAAGCATTTTCTCTTCCATATAAATAATTTCGATAGATAAAGTTGCTGAGATACCCCCAGTTGGTAACAACACTGCAGTTCCCTTTTGCTGAGATACCCTCAGTTGATAAAAACACTGCAGTTCCCTTATTTTTTTCGAATGTACCAAGTTATCTTTCTCAACATTTCATGTCACTGAGAACGGATCCCGATGGAATAAGAAGTCAGTGGTGTTTAGCTGCCCAAAATTAGTTGATTTTGAATATTCCAATCTATTATCAATGGGTCTGTAATAGTAATTTTTTTTCTACAACCTTTCGTGAAAAAACGTGATTTTGTAATAGAATCAGGGTTGGATAAACGTCACCAAAATTGATTCAACGACATTTACTACATTTGCAACATTAACGACGTCATAAGGCGCCTATTCTGTTCAATGTGAGGTTTCAATTATTGAGGTTAGGCCGTGAATGTAACAAATTTAATGGTGGTATGTCGTAAATTGTGCCGTGAATGTATGATTTGATCTCTATGCCGTCAGTTGAGATGAGAGTATCATGGCAATACGATCCTATCACAACTTTATTATAGACGGCTGTGGCGCGATTGATGTATGAAAGATGTTCATGCTACCATGTCAATAGTGTCCTCTGGAGAAGGGAGCCCTTCAATAAGAAACAGGGCAATTATTTAAGATTCAAGAATGAAAGCAGAAGGATGTTCAAATTTCAAAATCTGATGAGATGAAGCAATCAAAGTGACATTCCTAGCATTGGAGGAGAGATTCGGACATTGAAATAAATTGAAATGTTTGACGAAATAAAATACTCCACCGTAACGTTGAGAGCCCTGAATGAGCACAACAATATTTTGAGTCATATTCAACAGTACATCATTAGAAAATGAGATGTCTCTGCAAAGTTCAAGTGTGGAGTGAGGTTAGACAGAATTGAACATGTGATAATAGAAACATCATGAAAAGTCAAGATGCAAGCACTGCAAAAAATAGATAGAAAATACTTTTACACACTGACTACATTCGGCAATTTCACTGTTTCAGTCGATGCTGCGTATGACATTAGTATGTCAATGTTCACCATTGAATTGTTTGTTGATGAAATCTATCATGAAATATTGTGCTGAGAATGAATATTATGGAAGCAAATAACTTCTTGGTTATAATATGGCCCTAAATGGTTCCCAACGAGAACACACTATCGCGGATAGATAGTTCAATTAGGCTAACATTTCTTTCAACATGATTCATTCCACTTTGGAATATGATAGCATACTATATTATATTCTACTGCATATAGTCCCCTTCCTTATACTTGAATATTTCAATAACTGCTCTTGTTGAAACAAAACTCAATATAGCCAGAACAAATCATAACAGACATATAAAAAGAATCACAACAATTATCTGCAACTGAACGAAACAGTGCAAAGATTAGTGAGAAATTATAATGTGTGAGGAGAATGACTATCAACCCAAACAAATTATTCCTATTCATGAAGTGTTTTATGGTTAATCGATTAAAGTGATGTCGACCAATGGCGTTATTTCTCAACGCGCTTTTCTGTGACAGAGCCTCTCCAAAGGCATGTATCAAATTACCAAAACCCTGTATGTTACAGAAAATCCTAAGATAGTTGTACTACACACATAAACTAGAGCTCATTTTGTACACTGAATGGACCTTTGCCAACCCTGATCAAGGTAATTTTTGATAAAAATGTTCCTTCTCATAAAGGCCCTTTACTTAAACGGCTACCTAAGAATCGGAAATGATACTCATAAAGGCTCTCAAAGCTGTAGAACAAGTGGGAAGAGATAGTTGATGTTATAACAGAAAAGTGTAAGGCCGAAACTTCATCACATACTGGACCAATGCGAAATTGGGGAACTACCTAAGAAACAAATGAGGAATCATTCACCCAAACAACGGTTAGTAATATGTAGAATTATATAAATGTTGCTTACATTGTTCTGTCTAAAAATCACCAAAATGATGAAATTCATGTGCAATTTTCTAACCCTCATAGGTTAAAGAAAAACAACATCAAGCCCACTTTGCATTACTCACTTTGAGAGCTTTTTCTGTGATTTTCACGAAATTTTATTCCGCCACCATGAAAAAAGTACGAGTGGCGATTCGAAGCTTGTAAACTTGAAAGCAGGTTCAAATAGAGAGAAATATAAGAAAAAGAATGAAAATGGACTGGACTGAGGTGTCATGGATGAGTTTTGTACTTCATGTGGATGACAATGATGATTTGGAATGTTAATATGATGTGAGAAGTTAGAAATGGTTGAATAAAATTTTGCGAACAATTCTTTGTTTGTGTTGTCATCGCCATGGTCATCAAAATTAAAATATTCACTTTTGAAGTCATCGAAATAAGAACAAGACAAAATGCTAGGAATATGAAGACGAGATTCAGAAGATATGGAGAGGCATGGGGAAGAAGATGTATTGAAAGGGAAGGAAGCTAGGGACGAGGAAGACTGGACTGGGGAAAGGGGAATTGCTTTTTTAGCTGCACATTTGCACAGCTTAGCCTTACACCCTCAGCTGGGGAACCTACAGAAGAAAGCATAGATCAGATCATAATTTTTGAAGTTACACATCTGTACGTCGCGGCGTTGCCATTTTCCGATTTGATTCAACAATAGAAGCTCTCTTGAAGTGTCCTTCGTTGGAGATTGCTGGAAATGAAAATGACAATATGAATTTATATCAGCTACAAAGAAATCACAGCAGGTAGTTGTAATGTATATGCTTCGATTGAAAAATATATCTACAGAACAAAAATCACTAAATTATGATATAGTCTTGCGCAAGATATCTCGCTACTCAAGCCTACACCTATCTACATTTATTAGCGAGGAAGTTTCGTTTCCAGTGTAGGAAACACCTTATAAACCTTGATTATAATTTGACACCTTCAAAAATAAACACTATAAATTTCAATTATTATTAAATTAATTAATACTGCAAAGGGGCATTGAATACAACTGTGAAAAAATATCATGAGTTAGAGGCTATCCATCTTGTGAAGCAATCAAAATATTGAAATAGCGTCGGATTGGCTCATTGTTTGAAATTGTTTGACTTTCAATCCTAATGAAACAATATACCATTATTATTGATAAATCAGCTGGTAATGCCCATAGAGTATAACGAGGAGTATAGTTACTACCTAAATACGCCATAACTATAACGAACTCGTTATCATATCAAATTTGGGGATCCTCATAGTTGGAAAGTATGTTTTTTGAAATATGTCAATTATCTATATTTTCAATAACTAGAACTAGACTTTGAGCGTTCCTTCTTTCCTTTGAACTAGATCTGTCTTAATTCATTTACACTCTTATTACGTAGGGTACTTACTTGGTTGGCAAACACTGTGATAGTAAATTTTCCTGGATTGAAGGTATCTAGAACCTTATTTATAATTTCCTTATAAGAGCTGGAAGGAATGTTGGTCTCGAAACTAACATACGAAAAATCAGGTTCCGGAGTGATATGGATAGTCATGTAACAGCCCTAATTGACAAAAAAAAATATATTAGTACGCAAACTGCAATTCATCCTGTCATTTCAGTTTGGAAAGAAACATGAATTATTATATATTATCAAGTTCCACGTTTCAGTAATAAATCTGTTTTTACATCAAAAGCATGTATGCAGTGAAATTATGCGTGTATGCAGTGAGGTTGCGGGTGTTCAAACAAGTTCATTTGAAATTCAGGAATTTATTTTTTCGGAAAAAGATCGAACACATTTCAATTTTTGGTATCCTTTTGAAACAGAACTAATCAGATAAGTCTAAATCACTAATATGCGAAAATAGGACACGTAATTCAAGATCGTTCCATTTTGGGGATCACTTTGTGTTGAGAAATAGAATTCCTTTACAGGTTGAACAAGATGAGAACACACAGCATGGGAATCTCGGAGATTTTTTAAAATTAATTCATAGGTTTTAAGAAAAGGTATATTTCTGGAAAATTTGTTCAATTGTTTTCGACACCGCAAAACTGAGATTTAACGTGGTAATATTGATAACTAACTCTATGCGACGTTTAGTGATCTTAGAACCATCATCTAATTATTATCAATGTTTTTTGGTATTCCGAAGTAGAAATATCATTAGTTTTACTTATTTGGGTCAAGTGGTAGAGCAATTCAGTGGACGGAGTCATCAAGAAACTAAATGAAACTTCACACTTTGCTTTTGAATACTATCATCCATGCAGTTTTTTATATATTTTTATTATTTTACATTCAGAAGTAATTAAGACTAAAACTAAAAAACTAAAACACTAATACCTCATCAACTGGCTTCAATTGATAGACTTTTAAGGATAATGAGTTCAAAAAAATCTAAGTATAGATACTAAATAATTCAAAATGTCCGTCATCAGACGCATAAGAAATTAGACCTACCATAAGATAGCTTACATGAAAGGTGGAAAGATTTTTTGTAATTATGTTGAAAAATTATTATAAAAATTCCTTTGGGAAAATTAAAAATAAAACAGAAAAAATTATTTAAGGAGAAACCCTGTAAGGCCCAATAATTTTTTCTCAGCATTATGGGTGAATCAAAGAAAAACAGGTCCCCTAACATTTGGGACATCGGGATAATGTAAAAATGTATGACAGATGCCAGAGTTCTTTTCATCTCTTGGAGCGCACGAAGGGAAATTCCAATCATGTTTGAAGAACATCGTGCGTACCTAGGGAGGTTAGGGAGAGGAGGTAGGTATTGTATTCATTTTCCCTTTCGAAGCTTATAAGTTGTTGGAAAAGCAGATTTTCGCACGGAATAATAATCCGAGTTTTTATGAAGCAGCTTTCGCGATGGATCTGACATGATTTGCCCATTAAAGAGTACTGGAAATAAGGAGCATAGATATATTGGAGTTGGTCGGAATGGTGGTACCAGACATTGTTATATCAGGCGTACTGGGTTCCGCCTTTCTAGAAAAAGTACAGGTTAGAGTTTTGGTGGCGTTGAATTCAACTAGGTTGTTGGTTTCCGAGGCTGTTATTTCAGCAGGATCGTGGTAAGTTCTTGAAAAAAAAAAGGGAATTCTCCGCACTCGAAAACACAGTATGCACATCTGTGGATATGGTAAGTGGTTACTTCCCGAAATAGGAATAATGTTGGTGCCAGAACTGATCTTTGTGGCAGGCCGTAGGCAATGGTATCGATACTCCGTCTACCATCACATGGAGCGATCTGCATGAAAGAAAACTCGATAAATGATGGCATAGCTGAGGTGGAAAGCCGTATGATGGTAGTTTGTGGAACAGTCCTTGGTGCCAAACAGAGTCGAACGCCTTCGATATATCCAACGCAATTCCCAATGTTTTTCTAATGAAGCTTGTCATATATGGGTGTCGTAGACAATTAAATCTCCAGTTGACCGCTACCTGACTGGAGACTGAAGGAGTCTTTTGTCACCAACATCGACACTTGCTGTGCTTGTCGGTCAAAAATGACAGTCATAATATTTTCATTATCCCGGTATCTGAAAGGTTAGGGGAACTGTTCTTCATCCACCATCAAGTTTTTAAAAAAATAATGTGGTCTCACAGGGTTTTCCTCAAATAATTGATTTTGTTTTTCCAAACTTTCACAAATGTCAATTTTATAATAATTTCTAAACATACCTACAAAAAAATTGTTCACCTTCATGTAAGCTATCAAATGGTGAGGATTAAACTTTATACTAAATTTGTTTCTATTGTAGGACTACTTTCTTATATGGCTGATGATGGACATATGTATATCCGAAACATGTACCCCTTGATGTGATTGTTTACAGTTAACTATCGTGAAGATGATTTTGTGTATTATTTAGTATCTACTACTGCACTCTACCAGAGAAAATCTATTTTTCAAAAGTTACTACGAAACAATAAAAATGACATTTCTTCTCCATATTTTCACTGGAACAGTTCAACACTCACTATTTTGAAAAAAGTGAATTTTCGTCCTCTCAATAGTGTTTGCATTTATGAATATGAAATTAGATTTATCAAATCGATCAATAAAGAATACGACGACATTATTCTATACAAGTAGTAAAACAATGTCTATGTTACTAAGAGATGCTAAGAAAAGTGTAAGAACTGTACGAAGAGGTTATATTCATATTATTTTAGTAAATAATGGTTACAACTTTGAACATTTGTTATGGATGTTATTGTTTTCATTAGTGTTCATGCTGTCAAAGTTAGGTTATTAAGGAAATTCAGGTAAGAATCCATTTAAATGAAAACATGGTTGTATTCCGATTGAAAAAAGCTTTCAGAGTCTGTGAACACATAATCAAGATCGTATTCGAAAAATAATTAGTTGATAGTAGTTCTAAGAATACGGAACGTCGCATAGAGAAATCAATATCAACACAGCATAACGATTAAACAGCAGCGCCACTCCGTTGAAATACCTAAGTTCGCTCATTGCATCCCGTGCCGTGTTGTGAGGATGCATATTGCCATTCAAGTTGAACGAACTAAGCGATAGCCACCGTTCAATGGGAAAGCACATAACGTGGGGGATTCACTGCCCACTGGAAATGCACACCTCGCCGATCTGATGAAATTATCAGAAAGTTCAATTTCGAGAAAAATTTCCGAACAGAACTAGCACCAAGAAAGAATGGATCACAGAATCCATCCAAGCACTGGGAAAGAACACCATAATATATGGTGTACGGACGGGTCTAAAACACCATCGGGAACTGGAGCAGAAGTATTTGGGCCTCGCACTAAATATTCCGAACCGATGGGCCATTTTCCCAGCGTTTTCCATACGGAAATTCACGCCATAGCAAGGTGCATTCAGTTCAACCTGGACAGGAAATACCGGAACAAGGAAAATTGAAAATGTTTTATAAAATGTAATTTTGTTGTTGGTTCTCCTATTTTCACCCTAAAATAATATTACAACAACGTGGTCTCATGCTCGAATCTTGATCTTAATCCTTGACAAAAATTTGATTCATCAACTTATTTGAAAGGTTCAAAGAAAAAACATGTTGCATTGAGGTGAAATGAAAAGGGAATATTGGTGAATCTCGTTACCTATTGCAATGGTATACCAATAGTTGGAGAGCTAACAGACAAAAAGGCAAGGATTTTATCAACATTTTCTTTCATTAATCGATTCTTGGGCATCATTGAGTCTTTTACTCGGGGAATGGATCAAGAAAGGGATGGTTTATCATTTTAGTGAAAGATTTTAGCCAAAGATGAATGATAAGTAAAACTAGTATGGATTACACGATTTTTTCGGAACCATTTAGGTAGCACACGACTCTCAAAATGGCGGAAATTACGATTTATATAGTGAACTATATGCAGTTATCAAAAAAATGGATCACTTCAAATAATTTACTTATTACTTACAATAGTATATTATATAACAAGTGTTGTAAGGAGCATATTACGCACGCAGCCGCGTAGCGGCGAGTGTGTGATTCCACCATACTTCACCTACGGTCACATAAAGCGTCCATATAAATCGATCAGAAATTGTAAGAAATAATGAAACATTATTTTCATCGTAGATAAATGTAATTGAATATTCGAATGTAGTTTTCAATTCTAGTCAACTTTTCTTCCCAAATTAATATTTTTTGACATACCATAATTTTCCATTTGTTGCCAACTTTTTTTTTATATTTCACAACTTAAGCAATATATAAGTATTCAGATGTTTCCAATCAAATGACATTGTAATATCTTCATATCTTGAGATTGTATTACTATTATGTTAAATATCATATTCAAACTGTGCGTTTTGCTCAACCCATTATATTCTTATAATAAGTTCTATCTTCGTCTAACAGACAGTAATTGCGTTTTCATTACAAAATAATTCAAAGCGGTTCAAGATGTTAGGTTGGCTCACACCTTCATCCCTATTGAGTGCCTTATTCACCAATGTTGATATTTAGCGAAACCGGGAATTAATCCAAGAGAAGAAACACATTTCATTATGAACTTAACAACAAAACAATCAAAGATTTGAATAAAACTGTAGATCATTTCTAAATGAAAACCCGGCCCAAAGAAATAAGCATTTTTTCTCAATGAGTATAATTTTTTTATGTTCATAATTATATGAGAATATTCCTTTTCAAAACTTTCATACCCAATCAAGGGGTTCAAACTTGAACGATATGAATTTGCTTTTAGAAACCTCCATTCACAGATTCGTGATTGGGTTTTGTCAATTCAGATATTTTCCACGCCCTGTATGATGAACATCAATTCATCGTACAACTGAGAAAAAGAACATATGACTATTTGAATAATTAAAAATATATTTGATGATTCAGTTACAATTTTTTCATCTTCTGATAACCTTACACCCCTTGATAAGAGAACTGCTGATCGATATAAACTAAATTTGTCTCTATACATATAATTGTTTTTTTTTGTGCTAATACTACTGTCTATGATGAAGAAGAAGTCACACAAAAATATTCAATCAAATAATATTGCCCGCTTTTGATTATTGATTTTACTAACATTACCCATGATAATTATTTGTCAATAAATAAAAAATAACTGATCAGCCAAACACACACGACTCATGACTTTTATCGTGCACCTATTGAATTATCTTGAAAATTAACATATCAGTGGCTCAAAACCAAAAATGGATTTTAAAATCCCTAAATAATCACCAGAATTTCATAAAGGGCAAAAAATAAATATATTTCACTCTGATTTACCTCATAAACACTAATTTAATTTTCAATCTATAGCATGACACCTATTTTTCGATTTTACTTACATCTTCAACTTCTGAACATATCTGAGAAAATATGGAAAATTTAGTTAGAATAGTTTTTCCACCACAGAGGAATTATGAACCATGCAAGAAGACCTAGATATACTTTTAATGCCTTTTAAAAAACCCTAATTTTAAATGAAACCATTCAATGACATACAGACAAAAATGATTATTAAGAAGCATCCACACACCTCTCGCTCACCTTTCACCAAAAGGTAAATTCTTGAAAAAATACAAAAATAAAATGTTTACTGAATATTGAATCAATTTAGCTAGGGAATTATTCACTGCTTTGCTGTTCTGTTGAATACACCAACAATAATTCTTTTGAAATATTTCTCATAAAAAAAGGAAAACTGGGTTCGAAAGGAATCAACAATTAACTTATACAATAACATGTAATGACATAACGAGGTACTTAATTTATTTCTCAATTCACACTGATAGTGATGAGCTGAAATGAAACATTTCGGTGATACTCTGGGATCAATAACCTCCTCAGATAAATCCATATTATTTCATTGTGAGCTCTTGTACAAATTGATACAACATTTTATATTTTGTCTCTAATTCATTCCGTGTGGTGGTCGGATTAGAATAACCCCACGGTAAGTCCTGCCTGTCGTAGAAGGCGGCTAAAAGGACGCCAATGGGTGAAATATGGCTAACACCATCGCATGATGGAAATGGGTTATACCCATGTTTCAGTAGCTGCTTGATGATTTCGGCCAACCGAGCCCAATCCAATTCAATTCCCTTTTTCTTCCACGCCAACCTTATTCCTTTTCAATACAGAAAAAGCGATGATAAGTTTTAATCAAGTAAAATTATCGGAAGTAAAATACCACTCCATTCGGATTTCCGGGCGAAAGGTCTTAGTGAGGGAGTTCACCATCGGCTGAAAAAGCCAGACATGCAGGCCCTGACTGAGACACAGGTCAATTCATCCACCAATACGACATGTATGCTCTGTCCTGGGTACGAACTCCACACACGTTTCAGGTTCAAGGAAGGTCTCTGCCTCTATTCTGAAACGAATCTCTCATGTCATCGAGACAACACTTTGGAACCAAATAAGTTTGATGTTATGTGGTGCAAACTCGATAGCCAGAAACAGACCAAATATATTTGTTGTTGTTGTCTCTACTTATCACCAAATGATCCGTCCTATGGATGTCTTCCTCAAGCTGTTGATGTCCTGCTACAAAAAACTGAAACACCCTGTATATATACCTCATTCTCCGAAGAGACCATCAGCTTTGAATCCCTGGTTCAACAAGAAATGTTCTAGAGTTGTTGCCTTGGAACAAACAGCCTACTATCACTGGCGCAAAAACCCTTTACCTCGTGACTAGAGCAGAATATGTTGAATGCCGGGAATAACTGCAGCCTAATAATAGATGAGGTATTTTTGCTGGAAAATAGCTAGAGTTCAGCCAATCCCCAAAAAAAGGAAACAAAAGCCTGCCCAACAATTATAGGCCAATTTCCCTGTAATGAGTCATCTCCAAAGTGAAGGAAAATGGAAAAAGCCATCAACATGAGCTCATCAAATATCTGGAAAAGCTCAGGAATCATCAACGGTCGACCATATGTCTTTCGTCGCCGAAGATCAACTGGAGATTTACTAGCCACCCATAAATGGAGAGTTCCATTAGAAAAACATGGGGAACCTCTAGCTGTGACGTTGGATATATCGAAGGAATTCAACCGTGCTTGGCACCAAGGACTCCTCCAAAAACTACCATCATACAGCTTACCACCTCAGCTATGCCATCACTTATGATATTTCTTTCAGGCAGATCACTCCCTGTGGTGGAGTACGGAGTATCGTCTGATACCAGTGCCATCAATTCCGGCGTTTCACAAGGATCCATTTTGGCACCAACATTTTTTCTTCTCCATATCAATGATCTTTTGGGAGCATCCACTTGTCCTATCCACAGCTTTGCAGAAGACAGTATCCTCTATAATGCGTTGTCTACTGGAATTCCCATTTTTTCACAGGAAACTGAAAACTTACGTAAGGTCAACGCTGTCAATGACGATCTTGCTGAAATTACAGCTTGGGAAACCAACAACCTAGTTGAATTCATGGCCACCAAAACTCAAGTCTGTATTTTCTCTAGAAAGGCGGAACTTAGTATGCCTGATATAACAATGTCTGGTACCACCATTACATGGGAAAATCATGCTCCACATAAACTCGAATTTTTATTCCGTGCGAAAATTCTCTTTACACCTCAACAACTTCTCATAATCTACAAGCACAGATACGGCAAGTTTTAGAATCCTGTTCTCACATAATATGGGGTTCACCACCCAATCATATGGTGATGCTGTTAGATTCCATCCAGAGAAGATCCATTCGCCTGGTGGGTGATGCCACACTGAATAATCCTTTGACCTCATTAGAATACCGTAAGAAAGTCGGCGATCATTCACTGTTCTATCGTTACGTCCACGGGAAATTTTCCTCAGAAATCTCTGGTATCATTCCATCACTAGCAATACCAGTCAGACGAGCTCGACAGGCCCAGTCAGCACAACCTTTCGTTGCTAACACTTTACCAACGTTCGTCTATAGAACGGCGAAGCATTGGAATTCTTTGCCAATGGAAGTATTCCCAAGAACTTATAACCTCCAAGAGTTCAAAAAAATATTTCAACACCTACCTCCTCTCCCAATCCTCTCTAGGTATGCAGGATATTCTTCAAACATTATAGGAATTTCATGTGCTCCGAGATAATAAAATCCATCGCTTTATGAGGGGTTGTAATTGAATTAGAAAATTCAAAAGTATATTAATGTGAAAACTTCAGGCAATCTAAACATGAAACGAAATAGTTGAAAGATATCAAAAACAACTTCCAACAAAAAATCTATTATTCAGATTTACAACCATAGTTTACGATCCCAAGCTCATTATATTTATTTATCATTGATTCAACATTCGATTTGATCAGAAATTGAGGTCAAATAATATGAATTATTAAATAACCTATTTTGATTTATTTGAGTAGATTTTTGTATGAAGAAATTATTCAACTGCGAAATTGCCAAAATGTTCAAAGTGGAATGAAATGAAATTATTGTTCAAAAATATCTTCAGTCAAAGATAAATTTAAATATCTAGTATTATTAATTACTGGATTTTTGATTGATGAATCTGTTATGACAAATGAAATATAAGAGGGTGATTCAATCAATAAGTCAAAATATTGATCACAATTCCTGACCAAAAGTTAGATAATATATTGAATAATATCAGAGTAGAAAAAAAAAGATAAATGTTTTTAATGAAATGTTGCTCGAAATACAGGATACCTAACAAATGGCTTGATTCAATTTCTGAACAATTGATTCGACATTTAGAAAAGTCGCTTTTTATATTATTAAATTTTAATATTCCAATGTAGGTTAACTATAAACAATTCTTCAATAGGGATAACTTTGGCTAATGAGGAAAACAGAGTGTGATATTTCTAAACTATATCACTCTCATTCTTATGCATTGATCACAATTCCTCAAATGTCTAATGAAAATAGGCATGAAAGTAGCATATTATACTATACAGGGTGGTCCGAAGTTTAATTGCGATAATTATTAGTGGGAAGGAACAGGGAAACCAAACGACGTCTGCGACCGTGTTATTTGAAAGGAAGGTAAATTTTTGTACATAGGAGTTCAACAGTATTACTTTGAGGTTGGTTTTCCTGCAAAAAAAATGGACAATGGCCATTTGAAGTGAGACATGCTGTACATCTAGCATAATCTTTAGCAGAAGAAATCAGTATTATATTGTGGAATCAGATTGAAGATAATAATTTGGCTCATTACCTACATCATTTCTAAATTATCCGGATAAAAATTCGAATCACCCTATATTATATCACTTTTTTTCAATAATACTCACATTTTTAGTTACTCCATTCATGGAATATCCACAAGGTTCAAATAAGAAGTCATCAATCACCATATTTGCAACTATCTTATCAATACCAGCTCTCTGGAATGAAATGACATTGTTTTAATCAATATACGGGATATGGGATTTATTTTTCAGAAACTTTGAATAATTATGTATTACTACACCTACACAAACTAACCTTGGTGGCCTCAGTTGCGTTGAGACACTCCTCCTTGGTGAAAATAGACATTATTTCAGGGTCGAGATCAGTCATCAGAATCTCCAAAGTCTGATCAGCTTCCTCACTTGGTGATCGAGCTGGTAGTCTAGTTTGAGGCATGGGGTTGAGGGTATAAAAGTACCAACAATCTCTATTGACGGCTCCAAGACAGTAACCTGCTCCGTCCGGGAACAAGCTGTCCAACAGGGCGACCTATTATTCCAACATTCAATATTTCACTAAATCATCTTCTCAATCTCTAATTCAGAATTGGAAAGTTCGATTTCAGAATAAATTCAATGGGCTTATATCACAAAAAAATTGTATTTCATACTTCGATAGAACTCACCCAAACTAGCTCACCACCGCAAACCGTTTCTTGCTGTGAGCTCCCTACGTTTTATAAAAAATTATTGAAATCCCCGATTTTTCGGACCTCTGAAAACGAGGCGATGATGTGACGTCGAAACCCTAATACTGAAACAAGACTATTCCAGACAGAGATGAATGATACATGATTTCTGGCAGAGTGAATTAGCGCGAGATCAGATTTCAAAGAATTAATATATCAGTTGCTTCAGTCTCCGTCGGGCATTTGGTATTTTCTTTTAACTATGGCGAGATGAGGTTTCTACGTCATAAGAGGGTCCGTTTTCAGAAGGTACTATTATTTATGTCCAAAAATAAAACATTCCAGTTAATTTTTCGATCGAATTATGTTGTCAATCATTATTTATGTATAAAAGGATCATTTTAAACATGGTTTGAGTTAAAAGTTCTACTAAGGTGTACACGCCCATTTCTGTAATGGTGATGTATATGTTTCCAAAATAGGCCTGTTTCAGTTAAAAAAAAATCATTATTTGGAAGTACTAACCCTAACTAGTTCACTGTCGCAAACAGTTTTTTCTCAGAGCTCTGTACATTATTTGTGAGACTATTTCACTCATCACATAATCTCACCAATCACAAGCCAGAGACAACTTGTACTAATCATGATAGAATTAGCTGTGTTTCAATTCTGATTGGTCTATCAGCGTTGATGTTTTCAACGGTGTTACCATGGATACCGAAGCAAAGTCTGAATGTAACCATGAATAACGAAGCAAAGTCTGTCAGTTTGGCATAAAATAATTATGGCTGAACTCATCAGAATGAATCACGCATTTATAATAAATGCTTTTTATGCTTCGTGAACTTGAAACAGTCTAGCAAAATACCACTCTGTTCTGAATATCTTCTTATAATTATATATTTCATTGTAAACTCAATTGTGTTGTCGTACAGTACAACACAACACAATTCCGTGAACAATGAAGCAACAGAATTATCTCGAATATTCAGAACATCGTGGTATTACTTATGGTAATTATTGAAATTCACGATATTTCTAATTGTCATTTTCATATTTTGATACCGAATTTCATAGAAAAGGTTTCAGTGTGTTTTTTGGTATACAGTGTATACAATTTGGTCCACCCCACTCCTGTATTACCGTGATCCTAGAGCGATTCAATCATTTTTTTCCTCACATTATACTACTCAGAACTATGACAGCTACAGTTAGCCATGAGAAGCTTCTTTCCAACAGCAAAAATAAAATTAGATTAATTGCAATGCTACCAGAAAAGTTCGGGGGTGATAATTTTTTTGTTAAATATGATCATAATGATGCTGATATTTTGATAATTGAAACGGCTTGAGAACAGTTTCACAATGATACAACAGTTGTTGTTTGAGAAGATATAGATCTCCTCGTCATTCTAACGGCACGTACGCATATTGGCAGAGAAATTTTCTCTTGAAACCTGTGTCTGTGAGCAGAGGCAAACCTGTGAAATGGAATTCGTTGCCACCCACTTTTCAAACACCACAACAGCACCTCTTCCATGTCTACTTTCACGTACAAACATGGTTGGGCAACGAATTGAATCCTCTGGACTGGATATTTTCAAGTTGATAAAATCTGTATAAAAGCTTTCTTAATTTGTTTGTAGTATATTCCACGTGACCATTTCATGAGACTATCTAAATAAACACCTTAAGTATTTAACCTTTGGTAATGATTTCATTCCCAAATCACAGATGCAGTTGATATCTTGGCACTCATGGTTATCAATTTTCATTTTATTTCTGGCAAGGGAATTTCTATTTGTCATTCTGATGCAAATGAAATTAGATTTATCCGCATTTAGGGTTACAAGGTTGCTATCCAACCTTAGTTTTACTTTAGTGATCGCTCTTTCTGCCTTTTCAAACGCTATGTCCCATGTTTCCGCTTTTATTATAACTGCAGTGTCATCAGCATAACAGATTACCTTGTCATATGGTAGTAATTTAGTTATGTCGTTTACATACACAGAAAATAACAGGGGGCCTAGGACCGTGCCCTGGGGTACACCAAACTCTACTGAGTATTGCCTACTTATTGATCCTACGATTTTCACTTTTTGTACTCTGTGGGATAGGTAAGACCTGATTAGGTTATTTACTGGTCCGCGGATTCCCATTTTTTCTTAGTTAGTTCAATAGTGTTGGGTGTAACACAGTGTTGAAGGCTTTTTTCCAGGTCCAGGAATACTACTATACTTCTTTCATTTGAGTTGAAGGATTGGACAATATCATTTGTTAGGTTGCATATTGCATCTTCTGTACTTAGCTTTGGTTTATTGAAAAGACACTCACCTCTTGATCAAAATGCTGATGTGGCATAACTTGTAAATCAGGTCTCTTGAAGTTCTTTCGTGAATAAAATATATCTTCGACTTCAGTGAAACCAGCATATTGCTCAGCCATCAACAAAAGAGGCTCAAGACACAACAGCGGCGTAGTAGTACCACATGTTTTCAGTATGAATCTTCTTTTGGATATGAACATCGAACTTTCACTGAAAAGAAAGAATTCGTTGAAGAAGGTTTAGTAGCTGAAGAGCTGGGGACAGATTACATGTTATCATTTCACCAAGGACCAAGGCTCAGACTGAATAACAATAGATAGCGTGATTCATTCATGAATCATCGAAAATATCTGCCAACAATCCTAATCGCCCAACACAGATAAATGAATGAAATGGCAGATGGTGGGGATAACTCGATTTCGGTGGTAAAGTGATAACTCTGACAATAGATGTAATAAATCAGAATTTCTATAAATGTGTGTACCCAGACAGCACAGAATATTCTATGAATGTTCTCACAACGTTCACAACATACATCCTCCAGAATATTCCGAAAAACGTTCATAGAATATGATGAGGATGTTCTGAATGTTCATAGAATGTTTTATGAGAATGTTCATAGAACAGTTCATCCAAAGATCCTATTTTCTATTAATTTAATTGTTTCGGATGGCAGCTTTTCTCCTTCTGAACATTGGTGAGAAAACTATATTTGTATCATAACCTCTGTTTTATACATACCGGCTGTATGTATGTATGTGTATGCAATTATAGTGTCTTTTTTTCATGAAATTTGTAATACCCTCTAGAGTGTAATAATAACACTATCAAGTTAGAATTGAAATAACACTTTAGCCTTATCTTTCTTCAATATTTCTTTTTTGGATTCACTCCATTATCATTCATATTACTTGAGAAACGTCATTTTATAGAGTAACGTGATTTTATGGAGAATTAATATCTACATTTAACAACGAATGCAAAGTCACAGGTTAAACGAAAGGGTCAGGAGTGAGTATTTTCACCTCGGACAAGAATAACTTATTGGCAAAGACGGCCTATACTTAAAATAATAAGAGATCTTTTGTCATTTTGGTCCAGTTCTTCCTAACTTTTAGTTACGTTCCTCTCCTAATCTTGTCCTAAGGATGTCCCATAGCTCCTCAATGAGATTGAAATGCGGGCTCCGAGCTGGCCATGCCATGGTAGCGATACCGACTTCCTCTAGAAAATTTTTCACAACTAGAGCGACGTGAGCCCTGGCATTATCTCTCATCATCAAAAATCCTCTCCAATATGTACCTTTCAGCAGTAAGCTTTAAGGTTTCTATTTATGATCACAAGTTCCATGCGTACAGTCAAAGAAATACTTCCCCAGACCATAGTCTGCTACTTATTACGTGCTTATAATGCTAATGGAATTGAATAAAATCATGTTATGCTATAAAATTGTGTTTCTGGAGTAATCGGAAAGATAATGGAGTAAATCCAAAGGAATGTTGAGAAAAGATAAGGCTAAGTGTAATTGCAATTCTTACTTGATAATGTAACTGTTACACTTACAGGGTATTACAAATTTCATGCAAAAAACGCGCTATAATCGCATACACCCGGTATTTATAAAAAAAAATATTATTCGCCAATATTCAGAAGGAGATAACCTGTCATTCAAAGCAAAAAAACGTCCAAATCAGACGAAAATGTATCTCAAACTTGTGGATACTTTTTGTCGTGCGTTAATTTTTTGGGGTAGTTCAGTTTCCAAGTTACTGGGCTGAGAAGAAGGCGAACAGTCCATCGACAGTATGAATATCCCATATTGACAGATTGGTCGAAGCTATACCAGATGGTGTCATTTTTTTTCGAGTCATCTGATATTGAACTCTTTTTACTGACTTTTATTTACTGTCTTTCATTTGTCTCAATTTCTTACTTACTTGATTAGTTTTCGTATTATTTCCTGACCGAAAAGAAAACTCTCGAAGTCGGCTACCCAAATTCATTGTTAAGTAGGACGCAGTTAATCCTACTTCAACAAAGTTCAAGACATATTTCGACTATTCAAAATGGTCATCATCAGTACAGAGTACTTTCGAAAGATGAAAAATAAGTTTTATTTCATGTGCCTGCTCAATATAGGATTCATGCTTGGTGAGGAAGTTGGCCAGACTATCCACATCTATCGAGTTTTGCTCTAAATCTCAACAATCAGACGTTTCTTTGTCGACATACTCCCGTATATTCTAGTCGATGATTTGTGGGTCAGTTAGGTAGGTATGTTATGAATGCCACAATGTTCAATCGATGTTAACAATTTGGAGATTGACTTTTTTGAGGAAAAGACAATTATTTTCAATATCACAGTGATTTTTAGGCGTTAAAAAATGTAATTAATATTTAATAACCACATAATTTCTGGAAACTGTATGTATGGAAATATTAATGGAAAATACATTTCAATTTTGAGTTAGGGCCAAGTGACGCAATAAATCGACGTGGAAACCTAAAAATACCGCCGAATATTAAAATAAGAAGCGAGATAAGAAATATTACACTATTATTTATTGCCACGATGCCAAGTTAGGTAGAATTAAATAACCAGTACAAGGTTTAAATTAATATAGAGGTTGTTTGGTTCACAGACGTATATCTGAAAGGGGGTGATAGGTAAGAACATTCAAAACATATTTTACCATGAATATACAAAAAGCTCAAAGTCATTTCTACACAATGTTCATGAAATGAACAACAATGGTAAAAAACAACTACTTTCCTGGCTAATGCCACGCAGAACATTGAATTACATCCTCCCAAAATCTATGCATCAACTCGTATAAACTAATACTGATACAAGTGATTCTTTCCTATATGCCTATTGATTTCGATTTAGCCAGGCCACGCTAGACACCTACAGACCGGTTTCGAACTCTTTGACTCTCATCAGTGCAAGGCAGTCTCCAGCCAGCAGTCCAAAGAACACCGATTAAGCGTAGCCTAGACGAACAAAAATCAAGTCGGCATTATATTTCCTCAGAGGCGTCCACCATAGACAATATAAGAGCAACGCCATCTGAGTAGAAAAGAAGGAAAGAAACACTCCAAAACCAAAAATGCCAAAACCAAAAATTTCCTTTAAAGTTGAATACGTATTCTATCGACATTGAATACGTAATCGGATCTAAATGTGATAAAAAATGTTTTGGCTCTCAAGAATTTAAAAAACGATTTTCTGGAACATCCAACTTCGAATTTATAATGAGCGACGATTTCTCGAAAAGTGTAACACTGTGTATAATAGTATATATGGTCATCCTTCCAGATATACGTCGATGAACCAAACATCCTGTATGAAATTCATATAAAGGCCATAAAGGATGAACATTTTTTATTCATACGCCTTAATACATCAGTCTATAAAACAGATTAGGGCAGTATTTGAACTAAAAAGATATCAAAGTTGATGTTTCATATTTGAGAGAATATCCAGAAGAAAAATTGGTTACTCATGTCGAATCAGAATATCAGGATATGAATAGAAATCGAATGATTGAACAACATAAAAAATGAGAAAAATTTATCAAATGCATAAAAAGGCAATATCTGAAGTAAAATACTCATGATTAGGCCTGGGAAAAAATATCGATATATCGAATAACGATATATAATTTCAAGAATATCGATATAAATAGATATATCGATAACTATCGATTTCTTCTCAATATACAGGGTGTCTGTAAAAGGTTGGGACATGGCTCGGTTGTGGACTCCTGGGATAAAAACAAGTTGATTTAGGCCAACTTACCTATATCCAAAATCGTCTCGTTGAGTTGGTACAAGGCGTTGAAGTTTTTTTGGAAAAAAATTATTTTGCTCATATAAAAGGTAGGCTGAGATCGATTTTCATAATTTTTGGCATGACATGTTCTGTGACTGTAAGTCACGTTTTGAGATGTTTTTGATCATCATCAATGACCTGCAAGTGTTTCAAACAACCATGTTGCCATACAAATTTGGTGATAACTTTTCAGAGGTCAGAATGAAAACTTCCAGTTTTTTTTTTTCAGAAAGATATTTCCTTCAGAAATATTTATTGTATCGTGTTGATTTTTGATAAGTCTCGAGATTCATTTGCAAATAAATAAGTTCTGATATGATGCATCTTGCGCATTTTTGAAAATTAATCTAATTAGTCGGACTGTTTATTGATCATGGCTACAATGTATTCTTATTGTTAACAGTTTCCAGTTTCCAGTCTGACTTCTGAAAAGTTATCACCAAATTTGTACGGCTACATGGTTGTTTGAAACACTTGCAGGTCACTGATGATGATCAAAAACATCTCAAAACGTGACTTAGAGTCACAGAACATGCCAAAAATTATGAATATCGATCTCAGCCTACCCTGTATTGGAAACAACAATTATTTTATTTATGTGACCCCTAGATGCTTTCGTAATATCCAGACAATTGTCTAATATGTCTTAGTATAATTATTCATAGATGATTAAAAGACCCATGACATAACGATACACTATATCATTGTTATTATATTTCTGTAATATCAAATCTTGATAACAGAACAAATTCCGCAAATATTATACCATGACGTCCCCAAATAGTCTTTGACATCTCTCTACTTCTGACCTTGCCCTTACAAAGACTCAAAATTTGAAATCGATCAACAAGCAGATTATGCAATAGTGCGATATCAAGTTGCGGTACCTAATGAGTCATACTCCAACATACATACAGGGCTGTCATTTCAAAACTTACCAACCAGCCTATTTTCTGATATGCGGTGATCACAACTTTTGGAAAAAATAGGTCGATTTATAATAGAAGGGCCGGCTGCAGAATTCTAACGTCATCTGATAACGAAATGATATGACCCAAAGAGAAGTAAAATAGTATATTACATAACAAGAGTTGTAAAACGCATATTACGCACGAAGTGGAGAGAGTTACACACGATGCCGCATAGCGGCGAGTGTGTTACTCCACAAGTGCGTAATTGCTTTACAACTCGAGAATTGTACTATACTTTTTCTACAACTACACTATATTTTCTTCCGGATAGTGCAGATATTGTATTAAGTGGATGATATCGATGATACTTCAGTTTCTCCCCTATTAAGGGGTAGAAGACGAGGTAAATATTTGAAATTCCAGAACGGACTCCGTCTTTCTCACTAAATATCTCCGCCTCGCTC